GTGACACTCCAGCCCTTCCTTCCCCTTTATTTTTGCCTTCTTATTTTCCTCTTTCTGGAAACAGTCTGATGTCCTGAGAGAGTGCAATTCACACTTAAGTGTTAGCAGTAGGTCCAGTGCTCTTACTTTAATTGCAGTGGAGTCATGTAAAAGCCACTATAGGTTTAAAAGAAAAAAAAACTTCCACTAAGGAAGATGTTGAAAGTACCTGAAGTACCTGTAATAACTGTAATTTTTTACTACTATTTTTATTGTTTTTTATAGCAAAATACATCAATGCAAGAGCTCAGGTTAAGGTCCTGTGTACCATAGACTGCAAAGAAGATGAAATCCTCTAAAAATGGGAAAAAATAGGGAAGAATGGGAAAATATTATTCACAGGCACGGAGACTGGCACCAAGAAAAAGCAGCAGGTACCAGACCCAACATGAAAAATAGCTGATACTCCTTCAGATGTGTCATGTGCCATGAGTCACTGTATCCTGAAGACCCCTGTTAAGAAGAGGCACCATACAGCTGCACTGTTGTGCTCTGTGTTGCACAGTTGCTCCTCCCTGCTGCTGGAGACAACTCCGTGCTGGATGGAGCTTCAGCCTGGCCACACGCTGCTGCTCTTACCCTTCCAGAAGAAAGTAGCACACACTTACTAACGCTGAGGACGTACATTTGCAACATGTGAGACAGGCAAAATGGAAGAGGGGTAAAGTTTTTTTCAGGGAGAATTGAGCAAGAGGCTGTTCAGTGTCACCCAAGAAATCAGTGTCACAGCTGGGAGCTGAATTAAGGTCTGGAGTCCCCTTCAGTGTCTGAGTTACAGCATAATGCTTTCCCCTCCATTAGCCACCAAAAATCTGTGAAGCAAAAGCAGAATTAATGGCACTGAGTTGTCAGCTTCAGAAGTGTCTGTTTTTCCATGGAAACCTCTTCTCAGCAACAGCCAAGCTTCTCATCATGAGGGAGCTGTCAGGCAGCTGTTCTGTGCAAAATGCTGTAGCTGCAGCTGCTTTTTGGAGAAGTCTCAACCCACAGCCAGGCAGCACACAGCCCCATTTCCAGCAATCCAGCTGTAATTCTGCCTGCCTGGTAATTTTTCACAGTGGTCATGCCAGAATCATAGCCTTGTTTTCTCTTGTCTGGCTGTTAGTGGTGATGTATGAAGAAGTAAGAAAGACAGCTTAATTTTCATAAGCTAACTTGTGCCTGGAGTAACAGAGAGTGAGAGGAGTGCACTTAATCATAACTGCAGGACCAGAACAGAAAATGATAGAGCTTTTGCTGTTAGTTGTGGTATTTTATTATAATAACTCTTAGGAAGAAGAAACCAGCAGCTCAGAATGCTGAAAGGTTCAAATCCATTAAAGCAGGCACCGTGTTCTCATCTGCTGGAAGAATAGCTCACATAACTCCTTTATGCTTGCCTTTTCCAAAAGGCCGTGCTGGGAGGGAACTCTAGTCTATGCTGCCCAGAAAACCTGAATTCAGACTGATGTATGATCAGAGGTGAAGTGAAGCTGGTGATATTTCCTGCAGAACTGTGAGCACCTTGCAGGGGAGGCCCAAAGGGTGGCAGAGGGACAGGCTGGTTGTGGTCAGAGAGCTGTTCAACATGCCTGCTCGACACCATGCATCCCTTCATCCAGTGCCTCATGTCTGTAACTTTGTGATGCACTTGGAAAAGTAAATAACTAAATGAAATAGCTGCTACTGGACAGATATTCTCACAATGACTCTTTAAAGAACAAAATTGCATTAAAACACTGAGTGAAAGCTTTTGAGTAAATTTTTAGTTGGTTGTAATTGGAAGGACACAACTTGGGATTTTTTTTGTTTGAACTTTGAGATACATGGAATAATGTAGTCTATAGAGTATATATTATGCATCTGTATTATATGTAACATGAGGATGGTTGTACATTCTTAGATGCGATTTTTATATCTTCAGATCAAAATATTTGGGGAATGTCTTCCAGAAAATATTTCTGATTTTCTTTTTTTCTGTATTGATTCAGAATGAAAACCTTTTTGGAAACATTAATATTTGCTATGCAGCTGAAGTTCTATTTTCTAGATTACTTCTGCCTTAAATCAAGATCACAGAGACAATGTAAAGGGAAATAAAATATATTATTTAGCAAGATAGCAACACTATTCCAGCCTAGAGAAAATAGAAATATAACTAGAGAAGATGGAAAGCATATCTCCATAATTTTCTCCAAGGTGACTTGGGAGACAAGCTATCACATCTGCCTAATAGGCTTTTATGCACCAGTAAGAGTTACAACAGCCTGACAAGTTGCATAATGCTCTACCCTAGGACAGTGTGTGAACGTGTGCACATTCCCAGGCCATTGCAAGAGCAAAGCAGAGCATGTTAGCTCATACATTTTACTGTGTGCTTGTGACAAGCTAAGAGGGCATGTACAGCAGTTTTTCCAGCTCAGTTGATACACAGTAAGTCACATTATCTGATCCATGTATCTGAGCCTTAAAGCTTACATGATGTTCATTTCTGCCTTCATCTGTGTCCCATATGAAACCTCAAGGAGTACTGGTGAAAGTGAGGTTTTTTTCTGGTGTCATCAAAAATAAAGGGAAATTTACAGAAAGAAATTATACAACTACAGTAAATACATGCCAACATAATTTCCTGAACCTTTTTTAGTTTATCTTGGCATGAGAAATAATAATTGAGAAAAAAGTATTTCAGGGGTAAGTTACTGGAACTGAGATTTTGGACTGGTACGTGGGAAATGAAAACCATTGACAAGCATTAAGGTTTGTTCATTTTTCCTTATCCATTGGTTTAAAGGCTGAAGTCTGTAGCATGTTGGGAAATCCATGAGGCTAAAATAATGAAAGCAGATTGATGCTCTGTGGTAAAGAAGTTTGGTATCTGCTTCTTGCAAATGGAATTCTGACATTTCTTTTGATGGTAGCTGTACTATCCAGAGAAGGATCTCTGGACTGCTGAGTTGTGAAATGTGCTATTAGATTATGGGCAGGGTCAGTCTCTTCCTACCAACTATGCCAACCCATTCCAGCCCAGCTACACCTGCATTTTCTATTGGTTTGGTTTTTTTTATTTCTCCTCATCCCTTATTAGCCAATGTTTCTTATCTTGATTTATTCTACTTCAGCTGTAAGGGAGTGGCTATAAACAGGCAGACTTCCAGCTGGGAGTCAACAAGTGTTGGTTTAAATTGTGTCCTTCGGCCTCTTTTTGCCTTAGGCTCCTTTCAGCCAGTTGAGATCCCTTTCATATTTCCTCACAGTATATGGCTTGTGAGTGATGTGCTCTCCAGTGTGTCCCATGTGTGTCACAGGTTGAGAGATGCTGTCATTTATCTGTATGAACAGAGCTGCTTAGGATGTGTTTGCCTCTGGCTTGTAATTTCCTTCACTTGCTTGTGCATTGCACTCTGTTAGTATTACCAGTTTTCGGTAGCACCAATGGGTTTGATATGATCCTTTTGCTCTCTCCCAGCTTTTCCACCTTCTTAAAAATTTATTTATGGGATCTAACATGAAAAAATTGTATATACTGTATAATAAATATGTAAGGGAATAGGAGATACATCACTGGAAAATAAGGTGAGGAGTGTCATGTTGTCATTAGGATAGAGTAGGATGATGCTAGAGTGGTGTGGAGTGGATTTGTTAATCTCTCAAAGTTATTTTTAGATTGATTTCCATTCACTCCTTGAAAAATTTCCTAGTGTTCTGGCTTGGTTTTTTTATTTGCATTGGCCAATCACTGCTGCTTACACTCTTTGAAACAGCATTCAAGACACATTGAGGTTACTGACATTCCACTGAATTGCAGATACCACAGAAGAGTGTATTGCAATCACCTTTCAAGCCAATTATAAAATTGAGTTAATCATATCTGTCTTTGTGTCTTATTCTCAGCCCAACCTTTGTATTGGACCATACTGAAATAGCTGTGGTTTTATGTAAGCAACATACAATGGTCATTTCAGGCTTGCAGTGCACTGCTGTGACAATGCACACAATTTTACAAGCATAGCTGGGATTCGAAAACGAGCCTTCAAAGCATGATGCTTAATTGCTTTCTCAAAAGATTGCAAAATAATTTCCAGTACTAGTCTCAGTGCCCTCACTGAGCATGTCCTTTCAAAGCACCATTCCTTTTACTTTCTCTGACTAGATCCAAATGCAGTTCTCCCCTTCCCTCCAACCTCCATTACCACAGCATCCTTTCAATCACTTCTCTTATTTACATTTTATACACCACATTTTAGGATACATAATTAAGTCCTTATCTATACAAACATTCATTTCTCGGTTGATTTTTAAGCAGTGCAAACCTTCTAGACACATTTGATTTAAAATACATTTTACTCTAGCTGAAGCCAGCTGCTAATCAATGCAAGATAAACTGAAATAAAACTGAAGTCATAATTTCTATGCAGCATTCTACACAGGCTCACCCAAATGACTTCTAAATTACTCTCTTAAATTAAAACAGTGCAACTTTCTTATGTAGGTAAACTTTTCAAATCCAGTATTTTTTGAAGCAAAAGGGAGGGATGTGTTACTCTTTTTTTCTCAGTCACTCTTTGTGACATTGAGCCTTGTTCTTCAATTATGTTTTCTCCATCAGAGTATGAACAGATCTTCATATTAGATGATCATTTTACCAACACTTAATTCTCACTAGGAGGATTCTCCATCATTGTATTCCAAAATCAAGCGGCATTCAGATTTTTCTGGATGACATATTTCTGTCAGCGTGACAAAGGTTCCCACAGTGTTTAATTACTCAGGCTAGCCAGGGAAGAAATGAGCCATGCTGAATTTGCTGTTCCACGCCTGCTTGTCTGTTACATAAGCTGGCTTCTTCTGAAGGCATGGAAGGAAGGCAGCACCCCATCTTCTGCCTTCTTCCACTGGTTGTCCCTCTCCAGATTTCCTGTGTTTTTTCCATTTATTGACTGTCTTATATCTTATGATATTCTTGCAATTTGCTCATTTTCCAGGGCAGCAAGTTCTTGGCTTGGTGGAGAACCAGAGTGATTGGTATTTGGGCAATCTCTGGAAGAACCATCGGCCCTGGCCAGCGCTTGGGAGAGGCTACAACACAGGTAGGACCTGAGGGTTTGCTTTGAATTAACACCTGCAGTCAGTCTCCTGGTATAGAGAGTATGAGATGTGGTAACTGGCTCCTCCCTTCCTAAGCTACAGCTAAATTTATCTTTCTGAAAAGGAAAAATGATGCAATGTAATGCATTTTGGAATTTCTGGTCTTCTCTAAATGGTGTTAGAAAAGATTGTGTGACATTCTTGGGGAGGAACAGAGCTTTTCAGCAATCTGACAGGTCCTCAGCACATCTCCTACAAGATTTCTGTCCACAATGACTTGTGACTTGTATATAGGCCCAGCAAGAGGGAATGAATAGGAGTTGATAGTTTTCTGTAGAGAAATAAATGGTATCACAAAATGTTAGCCAAATAAAGATAATAACCCCTGCAGGACACCAACCAGGTCATAATTGCCTTATAAAATGCAAGCTACTGGCCATCAGTGTCTGCTGCCATGAGAAAGGAATAAAGGCACTAGATCAGAGAATTTATTAGCTTACAAGAGACAGGTCTTCCCACTGATTTGTGTTTGGTATGTGAGAAAACATACCAGGTGCATACAGAACACACGCATACACCTAAATCATTTCATTGCAGGCCTTTAAATGCTGATGCAGTGAGTTCGGTTCTCTCTCTCTTTGTAATAAAAGGGCAGAACAGATGGTGAAGCCTCCATTTGGAACAGATGAGTCCATTTAAATATCCCTGAACTATCAGGAAATTACTCACCATAAAAGTGATTTTGCTTCACAGAAATAGATTGGATTAAATTAAACAGACTAACTAGAAAAAGGATTGAACAAGTTGTGTGGTTGGGTCATCTGTATTTCCATATTCCTATGTATATTTGTGGGAATCCCACTAGTTTTTGTGAATTCATAGTTTAGCCTCTGCAGAGCATCTCTGTTCTCTGGAAATGTTCAGAAGAATAGCCTAACAGAACACAGATTAGTGTGGAAACAAGATCTTGGCATAATAGGTTTGTTTCCTAACTCTTCTTTGCCAGAATTGCAAATAGAAAGGCTAGGTCTGCCCATCCCTGTTCCCCAGCCCCCTCAAAGCATGAGACAGAGATAAGTTTCATGGATTTTTTCTGAAATTTGAAAGCTTGTGTTATACACAGTTCAACTTGTTGGTGTCAATTCAGTTCACTGTTACACCACAAAGCAGTATCTTTTGTTCTACTGAGAAATGACCACCTTCTATAGCTACCTTCTTTCTGCTGTATTTTTGCCTTTTCCTTTCTGCCGTATTTTTGCCTTTTCCTTTCTGCCATTTTAATGCCGGCAGAGAGAATCTGGCACAACCACATAAGATCAGAATAATGCAGTACTTTATGGTGGATGGTATAAAATATATATATTTATTTCTAAAATGTTAACATTAAAAAAAAATCTGTAAGGCTTTAACTTATGTTGTCTTAACTTAGTTGTGCAAATGGTTTCTAGGAATACCAAATGTCAGTATATCACATAAACCTAACACTGAAAGCAAAAATAATCAAATATCTGCATCCTTCACATACACTGCATGTGTTTATTCTGCTATTAATACATACCTATCAAGCCATGCAAAATCCCATAATCCTGCACTCCTGCACAAGATTTTATTTTCCTCACAATTTCTTTCTTCACACAACTTACCTTGTAGTTATAAAAACTCTTTTTTTAGAAAGAAAACCAGAAGGTAGATAATGTATGGAAGATTGACAAGTGATCATAAGAAGTGGAATGTTGTTTTTTCAAGGATGTGGAACAAGAGTGAAACAGTGCAACCTCTGAGAAGTAGGAAACGAGGTTATTGACAGAATCAGCACCCTTTAATATAAATTCCTTGATTGAATTAATTGTTTGCCTCAGTAATCTAGCAGAGACTGGAGGTATACATTTCTCAGGGAAGATGAGACTGGGTCTTGTGTAATGGGTTCAGTAAATAAAAATAATTGACACTGAGCGCAACGGTGTGGCTAAGGAGGATTCAGAAAACTAAAGCAGGGGGACTCTGAAAAGAGGGGCAGTATCTCTAAGCAAAACACTCATGAAAGGCAGCGGTCCAGGAGGGGGAAGGCATGGAAATTAGTGCCTAGAGCTGTACTTAGGAACTCCAAAAGGGACCCCAAACCCCTGAAACTTTAATGAGCTAAACAGGGCTGGATCATGGGAAGGCTCTCAGACAGACTTTGCTCTTGCTCTTGGGAGAGTATTTACTACAGACCTAGGATACAATCCTAAGGAAAGAGATTTTTATGTGAGCCTCTTCAGCCAGACCTAACCCTGGCAGATTTGATTTTGAAGCACCTCTCAAAGTCAAAAGTGTTCTACTGCTCCTAACAGTTTCTGAAGATAATTTCTCTTTCACTCTTATCTTTCTATGCCTGAGCCTCTCTGGACAACATATAGGTTGGGAGAGTCCCAGAAGGCAGGTGTATTAAAGGCAAGGATGTGTTTGTTCCTTCTTCGCTGGTTCTTTAAACCCAGTAAGCATTTGCACTCCTCTCTTCCTTGTATGCCCAGGACAGATCTCCTGACAGCCAGTACGGATTTTCAAGGAAAGATTTTATTTGGTTGTTTTTCATTCTTCCTCATTTGCACAGGCAGATAATCCAAGTCATACTTTAGTCGATGATAATATAATTGTTGAAAAACCAGACCGAACCCAAAGTCAGATGATTTAATTAGTGTTTAAGGTGTTCTTAGTTAGAACCATTCTTTATTTGTGATAACATTCTCTTCCTCAAGCATTTTAAACACAATTCCTTCTGTACCACAAAGGTTTCCAAGTTTTTTTCTGTACTCTACTGGCAAACACTCAGTAAGCTGCTTAATCAAATGCCCTTTTTATGTATCATCCACTCCATGCTGATTGTCTGCGCTGAGTTAACTCTTCCAGATTCCTCATACACTAATTCAAGCACAATTTCTTGCTATGTAACTATATTATCTTTCACTGACTAAACTGTGCTTTTGAAAGTATTGCTACACTATGATTTTTCTTTGTACAGATGTTAAACTTACAGCTTCAGAGTTGCACTATATAGTTTGATGTTCATTTTGGGAGTAACAGTCATCTTAGTCCTCAGAAAAGTACCTTTTAAAAGAAATTCTAAACATAAAAGCTTTTAGTATTTTTTTTAGTACTTTTTGTCTGTCTAATACTTTCCATCATGGTGGAGAATAGCTTTTAAAAGCAGTCTCTGGTGACTGTTAAGGCTTCTGGCCACTTCTTCAGGGGGGTGATTCACCCCTGGCTTCTCTGGCTTTAGTGCAGCAGAGCCAACTTCCATCAGCTGAGAATGGACCCCATGCCTGCCAAATGGAGCTTTGGGATAAATCTATAATTTGGGTGCTGGGGGTAATTTTAAAAAACTTTGGCCCTGGGGATTTCAGACTCCTAGACTACAGAAGCCCATACTGAAGATTTGAGGCTCAACTGAAATGCACTGCCTCAGTGGAACCACCAGAAACTATAAGGAGGTGTCTCAACAGCTTGAGCTGAGAATTCATACTCCCACACTGGGAAATGTGACATTACCAGATTTGTGGATTGGGAACAGAAGGGAATGGCTAGCACCTAACGATTACTAGGCTACATGTGTACTGTGCCTTATTACTCCTGTGTTTGTAATGACTGGAAGAGTGCTAGAATTAGTCTCTCTCCTTTATTGTTTCCCTGAAGAAAAGGACCTGTGGAAGTGGAATTGGAAATTGAAAGCACATGTTACGTCATTTTTGCATTATATTTAACAAATTTGAATGATGAAAGACAAGCATAGAACAGACTGTTTATATGAAATAAGCCTGGATCACATCCTGTGCTCCTTCATGATGAAGCTGTGCATCTTCAGTGCAGAAAACAAATGACTGGTGAAGCAGTGCAGAGTGGGCTGTTGGTAGTCATGGCACTGCCTGTGGTCCTGCTCCAGAAACCTGGTAACAGCTTTCCACCGAGCTCCACAGGCTTCTGCTCATGGCATTGTGGTAATTGTAGTCAAGTATGTTGGCTGCTTGAGAGAGGAGGATGTTGTCAAATTGTCTCAGTGAATGAAGAAGTCAGAAAAGTCATGGTTTATAGAACCTTTTAAACCCACCATGGTGGCCTGACCAAGCTTAGCCATGCCCCCTCTAAAGCCATTGCAGTATTCCTGTCTGCCATTAATTCGAACATAAGTGATGTTTGGTAATAGAAGACCTGTCATTAGGGTTGGGTCAAAGTACCTTTGGAGCCTTTGCAAACAGATGAAAAATTTATTTTAATGATTAAAAAACCAATGTCCAACACTCATGACAAGTCAAAAAGCAGCACTTTCTTCATCTGTTTAGGTTCACACTGTGCCAGTTTTTTGGATTAGATTTTTCTTCCTTTAAGGCACCGTGAGTTTACTCAGTAAATACTGTTCTCAGTGAAAAGCATGGTGATACATATGAGCCTTATACATGTAAAGGTGCCTTTGAAGTACAAATACTGTGCACATTGTCCAGGTAGCAGTTTAGGAATGCCAGCCTCTCGTTGCTTTCAGTCTCAACAGGAAGTATTAGTCTGTTAGTCTGTTTGTGTCAAAGGTGGGAAGCTAAAGCAATAATTCTGCTTTTTGATGACCCCATGCCTATCTTTGTTGTCTATAATCTGTAGCTTGCACTTAAAAATAAGCTATCTTAAAGCTGACTATACTCAAAGAATAGCTTCATTTCAGGTCTTTCTCATGCACTTTCTAAAGCATGTGATGTACTGAGAACTTGTTTACAGCATGCTTGACATTTCTGAAATGAGGGTCAATATGTCTTTGATTTTGAAAATGAGGTCTCTAGTTTGAGAGGCCTATCCATGTAGTAAAAGCATTACTGTGGCTGACTTAGTCTACTGTTCATGGCATTCTCTCAGATACCTCCTCTACTCCTTAGCAATTTCATGTCTCAGCCCCTGCAAAAACTGTTTTTAAAAAACACCACCAGACTTGCTTTGAAACACTGAAAACATTTATCTTGTAGGAAACCTGTGATTAAAA